CCGTCGTCGGGAGGAAGGCTTTATTGAGTTACGTCGCAGCGCGCGGTTGGAAGATGCTAACACCGCTGTAGACGAAGAGGAACTACTCTTCTAGGAGAAGAGAGTCGTGACGGGCCGATCGATTGAGCCTGAGTGAGCTCACGGCCCCGTCTTCCTCGGAAGCGCTCTGAAGAACACTTCTTACGGCTCTGTATATTTTTGGATTCTACATTACGAGTGGCTACTCTACTACCTACCGAAAAGAAATACAATTTTACCGCAATTTCAAGATGAAGAACAAAAGCGATAAATGAGGAATGAATCGTGGTGAAAACAAAAAGAAACTTAAGAAGACGATACCACTACACCTACGCTCGTCCTGTGGGAACGGTTCTGGACTCGTACGGATCACTAACTTCTCGGCGGCCTTACGTTAGGCTGTTTTGTCGAATTTCTTAGTCGGCGAATTGGGGGCAGAGTACTCTCCCGGTGAGCTCGACTGCCGAGGTGCTGACGGAGACCGCGAGGCCGAGTGTCTCCTAGGAGACACTGCCTTCTTCAACGAAGACGTCGAACGCGACTGCGAACGCTTGCGCGTTCCGTCCCGCGACGCTTGGACTGACGGGGAAGTCGTCGTTTTTCCGTCGATTAGTTTATCGGGAGTGGCTTTGTTCCCTTCGCGTGTGAAGGTGATCTCGTCTTGTCCCGCCGGGGCTCCTTACTCACCTTAGTGGTCGAAGACTTAGTCGGAGACCTCGAACGTGAAGCCGAACGCTCCTCCGAGCGTGACCGCCGAGACTTCTTGCGCACTGGAGACCTCGATCGTGACCGCGGGGGAGATAACGAACGTCCTGGCGACGCGGCGCGCGCTTTGAGCTTGCCTTTAGCACGTGGGGGTGAAGGGGACCGCTTGCGCGACGAGCTAACACGAGACTCTTCAGGAAGGTAGAACTACGTGACGGAGAACGGGAACGCTTCGCGCGTTTCTTCGACGTCCGAGGCTTGTGGGAGAGCTGCAGACGCTTGTTGGGGCGCTTGTCGTCATCCAAACTCTCGTCTGAACTAGAAGTCAGACGCAGCGTTTTCTTAACGGGGCGGAGCTCTTCGAAGTCACTCTCGGCTTCGTCCCCTTCGTAAGCTGACTCTTCCTCACTCGCTTCCTCCCAGACCGCCGTATAAGTACCGTCGGTTTGTTTGTAAGCCGCGTATCCCGCGGAGTCCGCTTCGGACAAGTCAAGAGGAGTTACCCTGGGTGTCCGAAGAACTCCTTTCTCCCGTTCGCGCGAAAGCTTAGCCGACATCTTCTGGAGACGAGGGCAGTGGCTTAGAACATGCCAGACCCCTTTCGAACGGTCTCCAGCCCAATGGGGCTCATGGTCCTCCTTCGACTTCATGTCCAGCAGGACCAGAGCTAGAGCCCGGTCTGTGAGCTGACTGTCCGGCTTCGAGCTGTTCGGGTCCCGAACTCCGGTGTGCTCCAGCAACTCTGTGATGGTCGTGAAGCCTCCTTCATCAATCCGAAACGGTTTGAGGGCGCTCTTCACCTTACGCGAGTACGCTCCCGAGTCACGTGAGTAGAGCTTGGACAGGTTGTCGATAACAGGACCGTTATAGGACTTGGTGTCTGGAGCGTTCCGACCGAGCTGTCCCCCCATCCACATAAGACGGCGTCGGTGCGCGCAACTCTCGAACAACCGGAGAAAGCCAAAGTAGCCATAGGTCTCGATGCAGATACTCAGACACCAGACGCGCGCGATCACCGCCGCCATCTTGGCCTTACGACGCTGAGTCTGGGCGTTGGAGGTCTTCAACGGAACGTTTGTTGTTCCACTCCCAGTACTTGGAACGGTTCTCATTCCAGAAACGTCAGTGAGAAGCGTGCACGTGCGGATACTCTTGCGGGTTGTACCACAAGTGCGAGCCCGGCCACGGATAAGCCAGCTGGTACGGGAGCTTGACCAAGCTCGGCCGCCTCGTGATAGATCCTCTTCAAGTCGTCGACAATTGGAGAAGGAGTCGTGTCCGACAACTTAAACGGTAGCACGAACGAAGACCACGGGTGACTCGGACGCTTCTTACCGGAGCGAGGACTCTCCGTCATCGTTTTCTTCTTCGTCGAGCCGGGACTGATGCTCTTGAGTGGAAATCGACAGTCCTGCGTGAAGCGTGGGTGCCGAGGCGGCTTCCCGCGAGTAGGTCGTCGAAACGGTTTGGGCATGATCACTATCGGCCCCGTCAAAGCATCCGCAGCCTTCCCCGTGTCGTCCAGGATTGCAGCAGCGATGTCATCTAACAGCTCGAGGCCGATAGAGCTGGCGTTCGTGGCGCGGATGTCGCGCATGATGACCCAGAAGCGCTCGTCGGCCGGAGTATCGTCGGGAGAAGAACCGTCGGAGTCGGACGACTCGACGTCCCAGACAGCCTTGAGTTTGCCGGGCGCCTTGCCGCGCGAAGTGTCCATAACGGGAAGGTGACGAAGAGGAAGGGTACTGAGGGAAGCGTCTGCAAAATTGCCGAATAAGCCTAAAGACTGACCGTCGGTACCTGGACCTCCAGTTCCGTCTCTCCCGAAATTCCTGTGAAAACTGCGTATTAGGTGCAGGGGGGGGGGCTCTCGAAAGAGACGAGGAATCGATGTCCTCCTTTCCCAGCAACGGACTTGACTGATAGGTAACGACTAAGACAGATGGGGTCGACCAACTTCGAGAAGGGTCACCTCGGGTGTACTCAGTTCCTTTTTGCCGAGTGTTCTCTCCTATAATGGAGCCTCAAGCTAGCGTTTTCTACGCGTACGCCCGCTGGGAGCTGTGGCCTGTGTACGTAGACACCGTAACGGTCTGGGTCCTAACGACTCCTCTACGCAACGTTACCTGGGGGTTCCTGATCCAAGTGTGGCGTGTGGTCAAGATGCACTGTGATATTTGTGGCGACTGTGCGTCGTTGTACCGAGACGTACTCCAAGCGAGCGAACTTCGACAACTCCGAGGTGCTACCTACGCGTATGGAGTATCGAGGGCGCTGTTCGCTGTGCCTCCTATCGTTCTGCTCAAAGGAGAAGAAAAGTATGGTCGCTATGGACGGATGCTGCGGAGTTGGTGGATCGCCGGCAAGGTGTCTTTCTCTGACTACATCCCGGAAGTCCTCCTCCGTACACGAGACTCGAGCGTACGCTATTGGTACGCTTTCTGGTACGCTTTCAAGGCCATCTGGAAGCGCCTGTACGCTGTGGGAGAGGCCGTCTGCTGGCTGGTACTACTATGCCTTTCCCTGCTACTATACATACCAGTCAACGTGTTTGATCTGGTGGAATTCGTTATCCTGGGACTTGTGGGTGCTGGTGTTGTACTGTTATTCCTACTGACTTCCAACTACTGCCTCGAGTGGACCGGCTGGAGTCTCACCGACACACTTATCGTGGTGGTCGCCGGTGTGATATCCCACGCTTGTCGTCAATACGACGAGGGAAGCCCTCTACGAACCGTTTCCCCTAAAGTACTGGTTGAACTAGCTTTGGCAAGTACTCGCCGAAACGCTTCCAAGCGTAGTATCGCCGAAGCTCGGAACATCGAACGTCTACGGATCGACGACGACATCGAAGTATTATATGTTTTTCAGGCCGCCGACCCCGACTTCATAGCGGACTGCACCAAGAACTACCCTGAGGCGTTCCAGCCTCACCTTCCAGTCGAAGCAACTAACAACGGAGTGAATATGGCTAACGTGAGGGATGTACCCAGAGGATCCGTTCGCCGAGGACGGCAAACGACAAGTCGGGGAGGATGTCCCGTACCCGGGAACGAAGGGGTCGTTCCAGGAGCCGTGCACCCCGGCGGGATGACCCGAGGCCCTGTAGGTACCCCTCACCCGGCCGTCCCGTCAGGATGGTTCCCGTTGTACTCGGCGGCTCACGTGCCCCAGACCGAGCCCGTTAGGGTGGTTTTATAAGGTGATTTTAGAACGCTGAGTCTCTGGCGTCGTGGGACCAAAGCACCTAGCGTGATCAAGCCCCTTCCCAGAACTCCCCGTTGTCCCACGAGGACTGGCGACAAGTGAAGTGAATTCTTCTTTTTAGTATAGGAGAATTAGTGTAGTGTACGTAAGGTCGAGAAGGTGTTAGACCTCTCTTCCAGTTAGCTCTCAGTCTTATATTTCCCTCCTTCTACTAAACAGGAAGCCAAGCCAATAAACAAACTTCTATTTCTTCTTACGAGTGTTCCTATCTACCGTTCCTGCAGCCACTGAACAAGACCGAGCTCCCTGAACAGCCACGGACTACCCGACCCTTGAAGTATACGACAGTTCGTGCAGTGTGCCACACGCTACAGGCCGACGCGTATGAGCGCCAGCATCAATGACCAAAGTCATCACTGCCCGTTTTTGCACAAATATTTGGAGGGGGTGACTTCCTGATCAACCAAAAATATGCTCACGGGATGGGTGTCATGAAGCGGGCGCTGAGTTATTTCGTATCCACTTTTGAAACAACGCTGATTAAGTGGAATATTAGCTCGAATAGCCAATCACCGTCTCACCAGAAAGCTGCGTCTTTCAATTTGACGGCTGACGGTGAAAATCTCACGTTAATCTGCAGTGACCGATTGACTGGGACAAAAAAAGGTTGGTGTTCATTTCCTACACCCGCTGTACTGAATCATACCGAATCCGTCTGAAACCAAGAACTGAATTAAAGGCGGTTATTGTTATCTAACCGGTAAGTTCATTCAAAGCGTCTGGCTGCGTGCTTCATCGCCGACGAACACAACTTTTAGCTCGACGAGCGGCACTTTTGGATAAAGCAAATCATTTTAAAGTAACGAAATGAAGTAAGCGGAATAGAAACCACTGTGAGTGCCTTCGTTCTCAGCTACTTAGCCACACACAGCCCAAAGCACCGAGCGGCCGCCGAGCTTCCTTCCGCCCTCCGCAGCTGCCTCTCAAAACGTACGTGTGCGTGCGTCGACTCGTTGCTGATGTAATGGAACCATCTAACCCCTCCTCTCTGTCGTCCTCCGCAGCACAAAATGGCCTCACAACAGCACTTTAAGTCCGTCGTGACAGCCTCGGACGGAGGCGTCAGTGTAGCCATGGCTGCTTCGCCAGCGGCCTCTGCATCCGCGTCCTCCACCTCTTCGACATCGGTAGCGACATCGTCCGCCTCGCTATCGATTGGACGACCCCCGTTGCAAGACGCGTCGGCGCTGGAGATCGCGTACAGTACAATATCGCCCAAGGTGGAGCAGCCACCGTATCCCATGCATATCAAGCTCAATCTCATCGACGAGAACCCGCTAGCCTCCAGTCTTTCCACCAACGGCGACTCAACTTCATGTGAGAGCCCATATCCCATGACCCCTATCACCCCAGGCGGATACTCGTCTTAGTGGGGCGATCTGAGCAAGAAGCAGCGCCACAATCTACGCGAACAACGCCGCATTCTGCGCATTAGCAACCAGTTTGACATCCTTCGCAACAAGCTCGAGGCCGCGGGATACTCCTCTTCCAAGAAGGACAAATACAGCGTGCTGCAGGCGACACTCGAGTACATTTCCAACCTCGAACGCAACCAGATCGGCGGCGTACCGCCCCACTCCCAAATGTCTCACCACATGCAGCATCCGTCTCCACACCCGAACAGCAGCGTCCCGCACCATCTCCTTTCGCCATGCAGTGAGTCGGGCGGTCGGCTGTCCATCACGGCACCGTCTCCCAGCCACGGCGACAGCAAAGGACAAGTTTTCATGATCGATAGTATGCCGTCTCCTGTGCCTGCGCTGTCCATACCCGGGATGCAGCCTCAGACCTCATACCCGCTGGATATGGACAACATGTACGGCGGTGCTGCCAATGGCGCATCGAACGCAAGTGTTAGTGAAATCGAAGGCTCTGCTGCCTCATATCGAGATGTGTTTGCCAGCAGTAGTATGCCGAGCCTTCTAGCCAAGCTGGATGGCACCATCGTCGAGGCAAATGCGCTGTTTCTGGAGCTGAGCTGCAAGAACATTGATGAGCTTCGTCTACACAGCCTCTACACAATGTGCACTGCAATGGACGCGCCCAAGATGTACAACTTGGTCGGCAAGATCCTCTCGTGCGAGATGGCGTCGGCACAGAGCAAGATGATGTGGCATTTCTCGAGCACTGGCGACCGAAAGGTGCGGTAGCTCCTTGTTACGGTCGATATTTTCCGAGTCTGATGTTTAACTTCCATACCTTGGCAGGTGTTTGTGTCTGTGTCAATGATCCACGACAGTATGCATCGCCCCGCCAACCTGCACTGCAGTCTCCTGCCGCTGTCATGAACTCCACCTCAAGAGGCATCTAGGTTATCCAAAAGCGAGGTGAAGCGAGCATCCGGGAATTCCACCTCGTGCTCCATCGCCCAAGGTCTCTCGGTCTGGTGATTCCGTGATGTGCGCCAGTTCCTTCAAGATGAACGAGCTTGGCGCTCCACCAGAGCGGTACTTGGGGCGAGTTAGTGAGGAGTAGTATTTTTGCCTCAGCATGTTTAGGCTTTTTCTTTTTGTATAAGCTGTACCATACGAAGCCTCAGCGCAACGATTGTGACCACCGAAAAGGAGAGAGCAACTAAAAAAAACATACATTGACTCTATTTATTTATCGGCACGACGTTGATCTTGCTTGCGCATGACTCCGATGTCGAACCAGGCACGCGCCTTCATACTGCAGTCTTTACAAGCGGATCATGGCTGCGTCTCCTGTCTCATAGTTGCCGAGGTCGTGACGGCCGACTCCTCGAATAGGTGCGTGGTCGCTCGCCAAACCCCCGCAGCGGCAAAAGAGCCTGCACAGGCAAGTAACCAGCGGCGTTGTCCCAGGTCATGACGCGGCAGTTTGAAGCGCTGGTGTCAAATCACAGAGGTAAGCACCGTCATTCAGGAGCCCTGGGGAAGTTATATGAAGTACCTCGTTGAGGAAGTAGGCGCCAACACCCAACAGCGTGGCAGACCCGGTGAGGCGGCAACTACACAGGGACCGCAACATAATACACGGTAAGTGGCAGCAACGGATGCAACAAGCATGTATATACCCCAGACAGTCCTGTGTCGCTGGTGTCATCAATGAATGACAAGGATTTTACGGTGGCTATGATACACCGACGGACAGAATGCAACTGCCACTTTCCCACTGGTACAAAAGCGGTCAGATGACCACAGCACTTTTTTTTACAGTAACGAATTACCAAGAGTTTTTGGCAAAGTTAGGGAGGCAGTTGTATTTAGCACTAAAAGTTGCTTTTAAGTGCTTTGTTAAAGGCACTCGTGACGGTGGCTGCCTCAATGGATTCCCAAGCTGTTATGGCACGCTTTATCGTAGCTAGGCGTTTTTCCTTAGCAGTCTTTGCTGTAGCATCCTCGAACAACCACAGAGCCTTGAGCTTTGCTTTCAAAGGCCCCATGATACCAACATCTAAGGGCTGGCAAACCGAGGTTGCATTCTTAGGTAGTGGCTGGAGCACAGACATAAGCTCGTCTGACACGATTACCTTGGACTCACCCGAGACATGGCACTCTAAGTTATCTACGAGTAGTAGAGAAGAGCGTGTAACGTGCTGCTGCAGTAGTGAGCGTAGGTAAAACTTCCATACGCGGGCATCCATCCACGCTTTAGTCTGAACAGTATACATATGTCCTAAAAACCATTACCGTAACCCCCGTCAGTTAGTAAATACCAAACATAAATAATAAGATAGAATAAATATGTACCGTCGGGGTATGTAGGCAGCTCTTCTCTCTCGATAATGCCGTTTTGCTCTCCACGCAAAATGAAGAGCAGTGGAAGCTTCACGCCATCCGCGCGGATAGTGCATACAGCCGTCAATCGAGCGGAATGCTTCTGTTGAGCTGTAATAGCTGAAGACTGACCTCTCTCGGATAGTATCTTGCCCGGCGGTGCGTCGAAGTAAATCCCAGTTTCGTCACAGTTAAAAACTTCGCTTGCAGCATAGCTATTGTACTTAGACTTAAAAAGTTTAGCGAAACTGTCCTGTACTTCTACCAAGTCTTCCAGTTTTTCCTATAAATAAAATATCAAAATGATCAAATTAGATCAGTTCCATACAATTTATAAGTCAAAGCACTACCTTTAAACCGTGCGGTGTGCGCTGCACGAAGCCATGCCGATAGGCAAAACGTCGTAGCAACCTTTGTAGAGACTGATACGCAGTATATTCATCCTTCTTGCCCTTCAAGTAGTCCTCCAGCTACTCTGATTGCTCCTCTCGAATGTACGCGGCCATTAGAGATGCAGTAAGCGGCAGGGATTCGCGTCGTGTCTCCTTCATAAAGGTGACGAGCATAGCGCAAAACGGTATTATCTCGCGGCGACCTGGTGCCCGCGACAGGGTCTTCTCGCTGCCTTTAAACGCAAAGATATCGTCTCCGCTCTTCCTCCATGACGTTAAAGTCCATCGAGGGATTTTTTGAGACGTGGCAGCCTCGCGCTGACTTAAACCCTGTGTTGCTATAAGAGCATGTCGTTTCTTCTTCATTGTATAATGCATCCGACGCTGTTTAGGCTCCGCGTATACCTCGTCAAGTAGGTCTGCAATCGCCACGATTTCTGATGGTGACGGAGGCTTAGGTGGGGGCTCCGACCGGCGTTCGGACTCGAACTCCGAGGTGGTTTCAGCTACACGTACCGCCTCCATTTTACCAAGTGACTGGTGCAGAATAACCACTGCAGTTCAGCTGTACAATGTGGCGTTTTAACTGTTTTGATTGGCTTATTTGGTAGATTTGCAAGTGGCAGCTATGACCTGCGCCCGTTTTACGTTGAATTTTAATGGCAGTTGCATTCTGTCCGTCGGTGTATTTTTATGGACCATACTTAAATTCTGTAAGGGTATATACTGCCAATTACCGGCCAGCAAAAATCACCAGCCAATCACAGTAAATCCAAATCCAGATTTTAACCAATAATATGTAGTAGGTCTAGGCGAGTCATCCACTAAACCACCCCAGCCTGTCATCGTATCATTTCTTTATTCAGAAGAGCCATCGAGCGATCCTTATACTACTACATCAGTTGCTATCGCATTGACGGGATGTAATGCACCACCAAATTTTGTATAAAAAAATCTTCTAGAAGGTCATGTCGGTCGGACGCTCTAGGGATGTTCGAGCGTGTTAGCTTTACAAGATGGGGCATTAGTCTGGCAGAGACAAAAAACACTATCTGTAACCCATTTACCTAAGTGTAACCTTTTCCATTTATTAATGGCACTCTTTGCTGCACCCAACTGAAAAATATGTGACGAGGCTGCTGCAACCATCTGAACACAGCTCGCCTAATACGAGCCCAGCTCGTGCCAAACAAACCCCCATACTGCGCGCCCAACTCAAGAAGCCAGCGCAAAACTGTATACATCAAACGTGTATAGCCGGAAAGACACACTTACGAATGTGCGCGCCATGTCAAAGTCCGAAGCTGAGCACCTTTGGGGGCGAAGTTAGAGCGTTAGATTTTCATGTCATCCCTTTCAATCAATACAAACAAATACAGCAGCAACATCACTCTAAGCAAAACAAAGTAGTGGTGTATTGAACGCTGAGCACCTACAGCACAAGCTGTTGCACAGCTGGTTCCTTAAGCTTCGATACGCATGCGTATGTAGCGGTATCGCAGAAGCTGTAATGTATTTTTGTCCAGATACCCAAGTTGCTCAGCACCGCAAAATAGCTCAAACACCAGGAGCACATACACCCCACAATTGTTAAAGTCTGTCTGTACACCTAGGCCAGGATCGTAAATTGTACTGCAATATACGCTTCTTCTTGGCGCCAGCCTTCAGCAGCTCAGTCACTGTCCCAACGACTTCTGGTTCCAGAGCTATTCGATTATGTGGGTACTGCTCAAATATGTGCTTGTGAAGAGGATGATTATGCTTCAAGCGCGTCGAAGTAATCCGCAGAGAAAGTGTAGGTACCGTAGTATCGACTACTTGCACGCAAGCACAAATCTACGTACACAACACAAGCATGCCATTAGACAATCTACCACCCAAATTACACCCAACTGATACAATGGTACCCAACTGAGACCCAACTCGAAGAGACTACATATATCGCACCTGCACATCGCATTCAATAGACCTCGACTGCTGTCGCTTCCTCTTCCCCTGTCCTCGTGCCTTGTACTTACCAGCATGGGTACATACAAATGTCTTGCCGTAGTAAATTCATTCATCCGGAAGAATTGGCTGCTTCGAGCCGGGATTTGCTCGGATTATTTTGTTCCGGACCTCGACTTTGTTCTTCGTCCAGACTCTAAAACACTATTTAGGCACAATAAACAAACAATCCATCAGTAGTTATGCCACTTGTAATGTGAATCCTGGCTAGCAACGATAACAAATACAGTCAAGTGTACCTGATACGTTTCCCTTGAATACTGTTGAAGGTAGCCCTCCAGGTCTTCCCAAGAATCAAATTGAGTGCGCTGAAGGGGTGGTGCCTGTGTTGTTTGCGATGTGGAGTCGCTCGAATCCGTGTGTACTGTGCTGGAAGTGGCCGACGACTCCTCAGTTGAATCTATCCACTCCTCATCGCTACACACGATACACTGAGGCTCGAAGCGGTCGCTTCGCGGGCTCCCCAAGCCTCCAGCACCGGCTGCATTTGACGCGCAGCAGCCCGCGCTAGTGACTTCCATACTGCTCTCGCTGCCCCCCCCCTCACTTTCGAAATGAGTGGTAGTTGACAATGATATGCACGTATACTTACTTTACGGATATCGAAATTTCTGTCGACCGGGCCTCTTCTGGGGTAGGGGAAAATCTGGTCGCGATTTACGACGCTGAGTTGGGTGCACTACTCACTCCCTTTATTAATTAGTGCCCCAGGTATTAATTGGAAGTTTCCGTTGCCAACAATAAAGTCATCTTTTTTTCCTTCTTAGCAGTTGTGTGGTTTCGTTTTTTTTGCAGTTTATTATCAAGCACGCTGTGCCCACAGCCATACAAATCGCGAAGCAAGTGAAGGGTTACCAACGTCCTTCTTCCAGGACCCACGGACGATAATTTTACTGTGATGACGGGGAAGGAGGTGGGTTTGCCGCCTCGGAGGCAGCTTCGCCCACCTTCAGTCCCTCAAGCGTCCTAATCAGCAACGCTTTCTCCTCAGTAAACTGCGGGTCCTCTGTGCTCAAAATCGCACAAAATAGTACACAATAAATCAGACGAATGGTCTCCCGAAACCAACATACCACAGCCATATTCATACCTTTGCTGTTCTGAAAGTTCTTTAGATACGCAATAAGCTTCTCACGGTTGTTCACAAGGATTAGGGAAATCACTTCGGGCTTCTTCGGGTTGGCCACGAACACCTTGAACACGTGAAAGGCCTCGAACTGGATATTGGCGCTTGTATCACGCAGCAGGTTCATCATCATTTTCAGGTTCTCCTTCTCACTGCACAACACGAGAGCAAAATTAGCGCCAGATCTGCCGATTACTGGTCAATACGTCGAGCTAGCTTACCCGATGTACTTCATCATGATGTCGAAATTGGATCGATCAAGCAAGATCTCACCGAGCAGCTTGAGCGATTGCCGCCGAGTGACGTAGTTCTCGGACATGAGCAGACAATTGTACTTCGCGAAGACCACCTCAAAGTTTGACGTTAAAAACGTAGCAGCCAGTGTTTTGTGGCGCGTGAACAGATCTTTGAACGTAGCGAATGCGTCCGAACCGACCTCGAAGTTAGGCAGATGAACATACTCATCAAAGAACTTCCACAGGTCGGGCGAGTACAGGATCTTGCCGGCCAGAATCTCGTGACGAATCGACTGCAACGAGCATTTACGAAGACTCAGTACCCTACACACAAGTATCCAATCTACACTTTCACACACACAGCAGGCTGCTCAGCCTACCTCACGCAGCATAGTACCGCAGTTGAGCGCCACCTCGGAGTTCTCGTAGCCCGCCACAAGGGCAGACAGGATCTCAGGCTTGCGCTCCACGTAGCTCACAAAGCCCGATAGGTCGCGTCGCATCAGATTATTATACACCTGCGCGAACTGTTTGCGGGCCTCGAATGGAAGCTTGTCCAGCCTCGTGATGAGCTTGGGGACAAGACCACTGGCGATCAACAGCTCCGCCAGCTGTGCGCACTTCTCTGGCTTGGCCTCCTGCTCTCCATCCCCGTACAGAAGCAGCTTTATCTCACTCAAGCGCTTGGTAATCTCTTCCACAGACTAGAGCAACAATACCGTATTATGGAACGGGGAGGGTTCGAATCAGTTCACCCTAGCAGCACTTAGACCACGCCCAGTTAACTTACCGTCCCATCCTTTGACGGCTTCGCAGGCGCCAACGGGTCTGCGATGGCATCTTTCAGCAGCTTCACCAGTTGATCTGGGGTTTTTCGGCGCGAGAAGAGCGACATTTGCTGACGCAAAAGAGGCGAAACTGAGTTTATGAATAAGGCCGCCGCTCACCCCAAAATTGTTGATACCGGTAGCCAACAATCCCCAATACCGGTACCGAAAGTGTTAAATCACTCCCAAACTTAATCGAACAGCTACCGTAAGGGCCGTTCTTATAATGACCGGGATCGCGATCCAAAAAATCGGCCTGTGGTTTGCTAATTCATACCAACTTATTTCTGATTGTGTACCCAAGGATCCGAGGGACCTCTGGAAAGCCTGCGCCAGCACACCGCTTGCGAAGAGGTGCGTGCAAAGAGATTGTAGTAGGAATCTAGAGCGCATTTGCAATAGTCTCCGTCAATTAGTTAATTTTTTTTACACTTGCAAGGGCATCTCCGGATAAGACAGCAAATCAGAATAATTTACAGATAGTTTGAGGATAGCTGACAGCAACGCAGCAATCAGCAAATATATTCCCGGCCGACAGCGAATTGACTGCATTTGCTGTCGCATTTGCTGACCAGCAACGCCCAAAAAGAATGGTGTTTGAGGGCATCTCCAATGGAGACTCCACCGCGCCATCAGTATCCTATAAGCAAATCGGTGTATTTCGCTGTAAGTTGCTTATCCGCAAAAGCTGCTGGTGTCCACCGCAGTGAACCGCAAATAGTACATGTAGCAACAGTAAAACACGTGGCACCAGCCATTTGCAGCAACTTGCTACATGTACATGCTAATAAGCTAAAGTAGGCGCGATTCGCACTGTACTTTATATTTTCTACCACAGGGGCAAACGTTTCTTCAATAAAAAATAAATAAATCCAAGTATATATAATTTTGCTGAACCCTCACGTAGTGTATATTGATCAATTCACTATACAGTATCATAGGCGGTTTATCAGGTATGACAGGGACATGCTGCACATTCGCACCGCCAATGACATAAGCATTAGGGTACTTGCTACGTCCGAACTGTTTTATGCTGGGACTTCGTCTCAGAGAAATTAAATACTTCGAAGTAATATAAGTAGATCCGGGCCACTTTGCAAGGCCTACCCTGTTACACCGTTCACCTTAATTAGTCGTGTGACTTAAATAGTCATGCATCGTACTTATACGAAAGTAAACTGTATCATACACCTTAATTAGTCATACACCACAATTAAACATACACCAAGATTAGGCATGCTGACAACCGCAGCCATGCATTCTGTTACTGTACTTTTCATTTGCAACCTCCAAGTATTTTCTCACTTTAAAGTAAGCATGGTAGAAGAAGTGCCGCGCAAGCTTCAGCAGGTCGTTTCTCTCTGCGATCGTGTACGGTGCACCGACTGGATGGAGCTGGATCAAGCTCTCCGAGGTTCTAAAGGTCTCTATGGTAGAGCTATCGACTTCTTTCCTTCGCTGTTTCGCTCCTCAGATAGAGGGGTGAACATGAACAAGGCTCGCGACTGGTGGAAGCAGCGTGTTGACACAGCTACAAGCCTAGAGGACCCTAAGCAGCTCAAGTATGCGAGTGGAAGACAACGTATCCGACATCAATTCGTCGTAAAAGCTCTGGATGGTAGGGGCAGCAAATTAGCGGAGCACTGGATGTGGCTGTACCCAATCTTACTGACAGAGTTTCAAAGACTACGGCGAGCTGGTGTTAAGCTCTTGAACCAGCTTGTCGCTGAAATGGGCGTCGTCCTCATTGAGGATAGTGAGCACCCACGCTTCAACTCTCGCTTCAGTGTCAAGAACAAGCCATTTACGAGTCTTCTGACTCCTTGTCGCGTTCAAGACTTCTTGGAGCGCTACAACATCGTCTACAGGAGACACAAGGGCAAGAAGTAGGTCAGCGTTGAGAAACAGGCTCAGATCGACATATCTATAGCGAAGCACATGGGTGAGCATAAGCGCCAGTTTGAAGAAGGAACGCTTCACCCTGATCAGCAGTACAACATGGACGAGAGCCACTTCGTTATTGACCTTGACGATGGCAAGACGCTGGACTTCGTTGGATCACAGTCCGTCAAATACCGCAGCGTCGTGTCAGGTATGTAATATGGGATCTACGCAGTGATGATTTGAATTAACTGTGTTGCTTATGTTATAGGTCGTGAGGGCATAACAATGTGTGTTCTTTTGAAAGGGGGTAGCGATGCACGCATCCTGTGTCCGATGCTGATATTCAAGAACAAGAACTCTAGCTACCCTATTCAACATCTTGCCGATTCGACGCCTGGTGTGTGCTACCGGACTCCGCCGAGTGCGTTCATCAATGGACGCTTAATGTGTCAATGGCTGCGCAACCTAAGGTGCTGGGGACCGGGTGGACCGTTCGCGTCTGGACGGACTCTTTGGACGGACAACGCTAGTGGACATTGCGGTACAGACGTCGAGGACACAGCTCACGAACTGCGGACGAAGGTGAAGCTTTTCCCTGCTAACGCCACCGACAAAGTCCAGCCCGCAGACCGCTTCCCGATTCAGCGTATCAAGGACCACTGGCATCGCCTTGCCGAGCGACGGAATACGGAAGCTATTCGGAATGGTGATTGGAAGACCGGCAATTCATCATCAGGAAAGCTTGCAAACCCCGGGAAGAAGTTCTTTCTTGAACTGGCAGCTGAGTGCATCCGCCTCGTCAACTTAGAGAAAGACAAAAACGGAGAAAATTGGGCAAAGAAGTCCATGGATCAGTGCGGCCTGGATCTTCCTCGTGACGGTGTCTGGAAAGTCGAGCAGCTCAGTAGAGAGCTTCAAGAGATTATTGCGATGTATCCTGACACTTTTAACGACGGATACAAGGAAGCTGCCAGGTCTGCAGATATATAGTGGTACATTGTTTGTATTCATAATGGATAAATATAGTTTTCTACTTTTTCCAAAAGGACTTACATGGCAGTTGCAGACCCCTAAGGGATCCTTCTGTGTTAACGCTGCGCGCGGACTCGAACCCGCGATATTGCGCGTGGAACGACTCGGCTAAACCTCTCCACCAATGCCGTCGTTTATTACGAAAGTGCAAAATGTCGCTCGTGACCTTTCTTGGAATAAACCGGTAATAGTCGTGCACATAATTTAGTCGTGCACCAAAATTGATCATGAGCAATTTTAAGCATTTTGGGGATGCACGGTAAATAGTCGTGCCACGACTAATTAGGGTGAACGGTGTACTTAGGGCATCTCCACCGGCATTTGCGTAAAATTATGCGTAAGCATTTTGTGACTAAAAATATAAAAAATTCGTGCAGGAGAGCTTTGCTCATGCGCATACAGTGTATGCCATACACACGCTCAGAAAGTGCACGGTTTTGGGCAAGTCTGGTCAGAATCGGTACTTTCTAGGTGCACGTATGCGTATGAGCAAAGCCTCCTGCGCGATTATATAGTTTTGGTCCGGAAAATGGGTTACGCAATTTTGTACGCAAATGCCGGTGGAGATACCTTTAATGCGTTTCAAGCAGTCCGCTCTATGGGTACCTCAGTCATTATTAGGTTTGTGATCTAATCGAAATATCCTTTTTTCGGGTATCTACTCGAAAAATTGCTTTAGGCATAACGCATTACTCCAGGGCAGTAGCAAATACTAAAACGACTCGTGTTACAGAAGAAGTGGTGTCCTTATTGTCCTCCAGCAACAGAGTAATTCATGCATTTTTATTTACATTGAAAGTTGTCACCTTCTACACGCACAACATCTAAAAGTTAGTTTAGCTGGCACCACATGTTGGTCGACGTCTTACAGGCACTGAGTCATTTTGTCGCCGAACATGCGGTGCATAACGCAGTTCCCCTCCTTAGCGTAGCCGAAGCACGGGAGCAGCTTAACAACAGTGGTGCGGTTGTGCTGAGGGTGGATCAGATAGATCTTGTCGTCCGGGGGCTGCGCAATGTGATCGAATACCTGCTGCAGGTTTTCGTCCATGTACGTGTCTGTCCGTACCAAAACGATGATGTGCGGAACCTGAGTGAACGCTTGTAGCACAGTCTGCATCGCATTCGAGGACGTGCAGGTGTGTCGTGTCAGTAGGACTTCTAAGAGAAATCCAAAAGTGGTCGTATTTATCTCGTTGTTTAGGACCTCTTAGCTTCAATCTACTGTTGTCACTCAACCTCATATCGTCCATGCCCATCAAGTAGGGGCACGTCCATCCAGAGCCCATCATTATATTTCCCGTGTCGTCACTGACTTGGCACAACATCTTCCCCCATGATGGAGGACTGGAATGGCTTGACTCGGCGGATATGCGCTCGCTCCTGACATGAGTTTTTGTTGATCTCTGATCTGTGTCCTTGGCGTTCACGACCAAGTATGAGGGACAAAGTAAATTGCAAAGTGTGATTGAATATAAAGAGATTGATACCTGGCACTACTCCTGCTGCGTCCTTGTCTGTTTGCGTCCTTGGTGAGGGCTAGCGCAGCCTCTCCTTGGAGCACCATGGACTTCGGCTACATCTTGTGCGTCCAAATATACGATCCCAGACTTAATATCTCACCAGCTGGTCCATCGCTGTTGGGGGATCATCAAGCCACAAGGAAATGCTTAGGCTTTTGTGGTGTTGGAATTCCCACGTGAACGCTAGCTACAAACGTAGCTAGGATGTTCCCACAACAATACGTCTACTAGGATAGTAAACGATCGTTCGAGCGGACCTGAAGACCCCAGTTCTGCCCTTGCATTGGGACAAACTGGACCTTGCAAACTACTTATATAGGACAACCAGTAAAACTAAGAACACGCTACTAGCACGAGCAAAGCTAACAGGTGTTATGAATCCTCGTGGTCCCAACAGCGGAAGGGTACCAGGCACGAGTAAGCCTTTTACGAGGTCACCGAGTGTTCGACACTCGGTTGGAAGAATAGAAGGGATGAAATACAAGCAATCCCAGTCGTGCAAATAGGCAACAATAAGCCGTCACGTAATACCTCCCGATAGTAATCGGCCAAAACACATAGTCTCTTGGCCATGCCGGATGAACCCTCGCTACAGAGCTTCGAGTTCACCGACAGGCATAACACACTCAAACAAGCTTGACCAGACAC